ATAAGAGCAGAGGTTTCTGAAAATACAATAAAAGCTCACAAAAGTATCTGCGAAACGTATTTGCACTACAGATAATATAGCAGGATGTCAAAAATTTGCAGAGATGCAACACTGTTCTACTAACTGGGAGAGCAGCTATGCCAGCTGCCCTAAAGTATAGTGGAGCATGAGCAGAAACGTTTTTTAACTTTAAGCAAGCTGAGTTTAAAATACTTGGTATCAGTAAAGCAAGCATCAGATGCCAAAGTGAGTCATTATGTATTAGAAAACTCTGTTTAAAACATAAGCTGTATTTTATTTAAGGATCTTAATCTGCATATTTTTCATAGAAACAGTAATGTCTGTGGCTGATTGTTTTATTATTATCATTTTTCTTTATCCTTCACTAGGTTCTGAAATACGAACAGTATTTAGATAATCAGCTTGTGAGATTTTTACTCAAGAAGGCACTGACCAATCAAAGGATAGGACACTTCTTCTTTTGGCATTTAAAGTAAGCTTAATATCTTTTAAATGATGGTGGGATTCCTATTAACTGTATATGACAAATTTCTATAAAAGCTCAAAATATTAAATAGCCTTTTTTGTTTTTTGGGTTTTTTTGTAATGCTAAAGCAGAGAATCCAGCTAAGGCATCTAGAAGCTTCCTTGTTGTTAGCTATTTATCTTTGACAAATTTCTGCTATTTGGACTTTTTATGTCAGGTCTCCTATTGTGTTTTTTTGTTTGTTTGTTTGTTTTTTTAATAAAATTATAGCTAAAACAGTTATTTCTGAAATTAAGCCAAAAAAGCTACTGCAAAACAATGCCCATCTCCGCAGACTTCTCTGTCAAAGGCTCTATCACATTAACGCTTTGCAAATACCTGAGCGCTACAGAAAGCCACTCAGTTTCACCAGGTGATAAGAAGTTCATAAATGCGTATTAAAGACTTAATAGAACTTGCTAACTATAGTATGTCAAGGTTCCTTCTTTACCTTTTATCCTTGGCCTGTAATCCTGGTGTCAACAAGGCTGAGTATAAATCAAGCTACACCTTACTGGATTTTATCTCATCTAAAAATGCCTTTTTAAGCAAAGGGGTGGTCAGGCACAGAAATGGAAGCAAAGAATCTTTGTTATGTTATCCATTTTCTACTTTTATGGGTATTTGGCAAGGGTAATAAAAGAAATTTGCCTGATAAACATGCATGAGGGGATGGATTTTAGGAAGACCGAGGATAGGTAAGGAAACTAAAGGGACCAGAGAGTGGGTTAAGCTAAGTGAGACAAGTTGAAAATGAGTTGAGCCTTTCTCTCAGCAAGAAACCTTGAGCTTGGACTGAAAGCTTGAGGCTAAATACGGAGTCTCTGAAAGTCACAGGTTTTCAATAAAGGGAAGTAGAGAAGAACAAAATGAGTTGAGCCTTTCTCTCAGCAAGAAACCTTGAGCTTGGACTGAAAGCTTGAGGCTAAATACGGAGTCTCTGAAAGTCACAGGTTTTCAATAAAGGGAAGTAGAGAAGAAAAAGCAAAAAGGTAAAGCAAAAAGGAAAGGGAGAGGCAAACTGTAGAATGAGTTGAAGAGGGGTCCTGGAGCCTGGTCAGTCCAATTAAAATAAGATGAATTGCAAGAGGTCAGCATGAGTTACCTGTGTGAAGGATCCATAAGCAACTTCCAAAAGAAATTACAGGTATAACTTCATTTTGGCTCCTCTAAGTGGTCTTGTGGTCTCTAACTGTTCTCCCTCTGTATGTAGGTCTGAAATGCACAATAAAACTGTAAGCCAGAGGTTTGGTTTACTTCTGGAGTCCTATTGTCGAGCATGTGGAATGTACCTAAAGCACCTGAGCAGGCAGGTGGAGGCTATGGAGAAGTTGATTAACCTCACAGATATTCTCAAGCAGGAAAAAAAGGATGAGACCCAGAAGGTATTATCACCTCTCCATGTACCATGTACTCTGGAGTAGTAGGAATCACCAGACCTTGTTTATTTGGTTAACTAAAACAGTGCAAATATTGTTCACTTCAGTTGGCAGTATGTTATCTTAGACAGTGTAATACTCTAGAAACTGTATTATTTTGTGTGCACTGCCATTGTCTATTTAAGGCAACAGAACTACAGTTAATGATTTCATTTTGAGAATATACAGCCTGAGTTGTTTATGTTGGCACTACTCAAAACCTTGCTTTAAACAAAGTTGAAATCTAACCTTCACTTATGTGTAACCAGTGATCTGAAGACCTGAATGTGATTATTTATCAGGTGCAGATGAAGTTTCTTGTTGAACAAATGAGGCGACCAGATTTTATGGATGCTTTACAAGGCTTTATCTCTCCCCTTAATCCTGCTCATCAACTGGGAAATCTTCGGTATGATCATCTTTTTTGAAATTTCTTCACATAGTTATGTCAGTACCTTCAAAGTTAACTGAATAAAACTTGTAGTAGATTAATTTGTAAAGAATGAAGCAGTTTCAGTGCAATGCTTTAACAGACTAGAGAGCAATACGGTTTTCTGTAAGCTGACATAAAGTGCAGTCCTCTTTCCATTTCTAAAGAACATAGTGATGAAGGAAAGCTTACAATATAGGCAGGTCTTCTACTGGTTTTAGCAAATGACCAGTGTTGCACATAGTATTTTAAATTTCAGGTTGAAAATAAAAGTGGTTCATTGTGGGTTACTTGGGTATCTGCAATTTGATAGTAGTTCAAAGAGTTGGAAGGAAACAGGGAGAATATCGTAATATTACAGAAACATAGTATGAGCATGAAATGATGCCTATTTCATACAACTTTTGTCTCTTTTGATAGGCTTGAGGAATGCAGGATAATGTCATCTGCAAAAAGGCCCCTGTGGTTGAACTGGGAAAACCCAGATATAATGTCCGAATTACTATTTCAGAATAACGAGATAATCTTTAAAAATGGAGATGGTAAGGAAAAAAGGGCATTCCAAATGCTACCTGTTTCTTTTGGTGTTTATTGTCCTAGTCTAGTATTTTTTTTCTGAGCATGTGTCATACAGTTATTGAAGAAATTTTAAAAAAATGAATAAAATTATTTTATTTTCTAGGATAATTAAGCTAAAGAAATAAATATTAAAGGAAAAAAGGGCATTCCAAATGCTACATGTTTCTTTCAGTGTTTATTGTCCTAGTCCTGTATTTTTTTCTGAGCATGTGTCATACAGCTATTGAAGAAATTTAAAAAAAAAATAATAAAATTATTTTATTTTCCAGGGTAATTAAGCATAAAGAAATAAATATTTGTCTCAAAGGCATGTAGAAATTGTGTATGTTCCAAGATATTTTTGAGGGTTTTATTGTGTTTGGTTTTTTAACTTTTTAAAAATTGTTTTCCCTATGCTACTTTTCAAATGAGAAGTATGTGAATTTTCACCTGCCTAATATTTCTACAAGATGAGTTTATGGAGGTGGTGCATGATGTTTTATTTAGAAATTCTTTGTGGGGAGAAAATAAATATGTTAGTGTTCTGGTGTTATATGTTGGTATGATGATGTTATGTTACTGTTCTGGTGTTATAAAACTTGCAATCTCTTTATGCATTTGGCTATTCCAGACTTGCGTCAGGACATGCTGACACTTCAGATAATTAGAATCATGGAAAACATCTGGCAAAATCAGGGTCTTGATCTTCGGTAAGCATTCTAAAACTGTGCTGTACTTAACATTTTTTTATATTGTTTTGTTGTTAGAAATTACTTCTCCCAAGAATAATAAATGCAGTGGATTTGTATAAGTAGGTTTATATACGTTAAAGCAAGTTTTAGAACTCTCTTTTAGAACCCTCAGTTAGCAAAACTGATTTCTGTAAAGTGAAGATCCTAGTGTAATCCAAGTCAATTAATACAGAAGATCTGTATACCATAGAGCATGGTTTGCTCTATAAAAATTAACTTTCTCTTTCAGGATGTTGCCTTATGGATGTTTGTCTATTGGTGACTGCGTGGGACTTATCGAGGTAGTGAGGAGCTCTCATACGATCATGCAGATTCAGTGTAAAGGTGGCTTAAAAGGTGCTTTGCAGTTCAACAGCCATACACTACATCAGTGGCTCAAGGACAAGAACAAAGGAGAAATGTGAGATTTTTCTGTTTGTTTTCCTGTTCAGTTTTTCTTTTTGATGGAAACTTCCAAGAAAGCTAAAGTTTATCAAGAGGAAAATTACATCCATCTGTATTTTTACCTGCTATCTTGTTGGTCTAGTAGCTGGTCCAACTTGTAGGTGTTTTAATGAGTTTCAGCTTGTTGCATGATGACTTAGTAAAGCTGTAGTTGGAGATAGATGAATTATTAAGATACAGCAAAAGTCTGTATTTTAGCAGTAGCTCATCAAAATGAAAACCCCTGTGTGTCTTCAAAAAGACAGTTTCTTCCTTACTTTGTGTGATTCAGTAATTAAGCTCAAACTCTTTACTTATTGAGCAAAGATGGTCGAAGTTGGGCCCTCCCTAAAAACATGTTATTTCTGCACTTTGGTAGTATTCAAATATCCATAAGAAAACATCTTTGTTTTCAATAGGTATGATGCAGCTATTGACTTGTTTACACGTTCTTGTGCTGGCTACTGCGTTGCCACCTTTATCCTGGGCATTGGTGATCGCCACAATAGTAACATCATGGTGAAAGATGATGGACAAGTAAGATGCATTTTTACACAAGCATAGGCTTAATGTCATCTCTTGCTTTGATATGAATTTATTCTAAAGATCCATCCAAATTAAAACTAAATGAGTAAATCTTACTGCGATGCTGTTTAAGCGAGGAATTACTAATTTGAATATACCTTTTTGTCTTTCCAAGCTGTTTCACATTGATTTTGGGCACTTCCTCGACCACAAGAAGAAAAAATTTGGCTATAAAAGAGAACGTGTGCCATTTGTTTTAACACAAGACTTCTTAATAGTGATTAGTAAAGGAGCCCAAGAATGTACCAAAACAAGGGAGTTTGAAAGGTAAGTCCTCTTTTTTTTTAATTAAATATCTAACTTTCAGAGTATTTTGTACCTAAAATGCACTTGGATAATGGTGAACTTTATTAAATAGACCCTTTAACCGAAAGGTATTATTTGAATGGGGTTGTAATGGTTAGTTTGCAGTTCTTTTTTTGAAGATCAGCCATACCCTTTTAAATCGACAGATTATCTTTATGTAATGTCTTAGCACTTAGCCTCTATTGTGTAAGACCTATCTCACTTCAGCTTTTCAGGTTCAGCACATATGTGAATATGTATTTTAGAGTGAACTTTTTCATATTAGTGCTTAAAACAAAATCCTCCTGGGATTGCATAACTGTACAAAATGAGAATATTTATTTATTGTGCTCGCCAATGTCTTGCTGCATGCTAGGTAGCCTTGTTGGTCACTTGACCATCTTGTCTCTTTTGTGGCCCCTGGGTACCAGCTCCACAGCTGGTCCATGTTGTTTGGGACATGCTGCAGAATGTGCTAAGAAAGAACTGAAAGTGCATTGCTTTAGTCTTTTCTGTTACTTGTCTTTCCAGACACTGGCTTAGAGACATTTCAGTTTTAATCTAAAATTCATTATGTTGTATGGGGAAAAAAAGACAGTTTTAAAACATTTTAATTATTTTAATTTTTGCCTTAACCTGACTTGGAGTGGTGATTTCAGGATAAACTTGCATCCTCACCTCAGTGCAATACAGTAAATGCCCTATGTTTTTAAAAATAATAATAATAATAAACTTTTTGTTTTCTTGATGGTGAAGAAATACACACCTAATAGGGCAATAAACTGAGTCAATTCTTCCTTTTATAGGTTTCAGGAGATGTGCTATAAGGCTTACCTAGCAATTCGGCAACACGCCAATCT